CACTTTGGGAGGCTGAGGCGGGTGGATCACAAGGTCAAGAGGTGGAGACCATCCTGGCCAACATGGTGAAACCCCTTGTCTATTGAAAATACAAAAATTAGCTGGGTGTGGTGGCGCGCCCCTGTGGTCCCAGCTACTCAGGAGGCTGAGGCAGGAGAATCACTTGAACCCAGGAGGTGGAGTTGCAGTGAGCTGAGATAGTGCCCCTGCACTCCAGCATGGTGACAGAGTGAGACTTTGTCTCAAAAAAAAAAAAGACACGTGCTGTTAAATTAAAAGGCCAGTGGTTTTTCTAGTGATTAAATCACTTATTCATTAAAACAAATGAGTGGATATGAAAGGGTAAGAGAGTATGGAGATTGTAGTCCAAAATAATTAATCAGACAAATCTGTGAAAGAATCCCCAATGAAAGTCCTTTAACCATAAGCACTGACCTTTCTCAACGCTAATGACAAGTTCTCACGGTAGTTCAAAATGATACAAAATTGGAGTGGAGACTGAGGTCATACCACTGCCGCTTTTACAGCAATACTATATACTTGTATTATATTACAGTCTCCAGCCATGACTTTACATCAGTGCAGCCAATAATGAAGCCTATTCTATAGCAAACAGAATTAATGTACAACTATTAATCTAAATCTGTGATCACATTAATATTACCATCTTCTGTGGCTCATCTTAATACAACATTCAGGTGCCAAAATTAAGTGTTAGTAGAGGTACAATTAAAATAAACGGTCCTTCTTTGCCCTGTGTTGAATAACTCAGAATATTTATGCATGTGGTCTGATAAGAGAATTTTTTAAACTTTGAAGAAATAGGCCCAGTGTGGTGGCTCATGCCTGTAACTCCAGCACTTTGGGAGGCCAAAGTGGGAGGAGTTCAAGAACAGCCAGGCAACATAACAAGACCTCATCTCTACTAAAAATATAAAAAGTTAGCCTGGTATGGTGGCGCATGCCTGTGTTCCCAGCTACTCAAGAGGCAGCGGTGGGAGGATTGCTTGACCCAGGAGGTTGAGGCTGCAGTAATCACAGCACTGCACTCCAGCCTAGGTGACAGAGCAAGACCTTGTCTCAAAAAAAAAAAAAAAGAAAGAAAGAAAGAAAAGAAAAGAAATAATATTCTATATATTCTGTAGTTGAATGCAAGTTTACTGAGTCAAGTAAGAACAGGATTCAGAGAAACAGACTTAAATGTCTTCATGAAAAAAATCATAAGGGATGCCCTTCCAAATGGTTCAGATATTCCACTGGAAGAGATCATTCCTGATAGTCAAGACATAACTTACTTGATACTGAATCAGCCCAAAATAAGATGGTCCTTGTGGACCATAACCATGTCACAGGACAGCACTGCCTTGGGTGGCTTTTTCACAGAGAGCCTGGTTGGCACAGTGTAGAGTCTGGAAATGCCATGACTGCCACAGGGACCTTCCTGTTCAGGGTAAGTTTTACTATCCATACACTATGGCTCCTATCCGCTTACTCTCTCCCCCATCACTCATCCTTTAAAAAGCCTCCCTGGCCACCTGAAAGAACACTGAACACTGATTTCCCTGCACCTTCCCCTCACTCAAAAGAACAGAATGAGGACCCCCAAGCACTGCATTTAAGGGCAGTAAAACCAGTACATGAGGGTCCAGCCTAGGGGCAGAGCACTGGGCTTTCTGCATGAGGCTTCTACCCTCAGCTGCTCCAAGAAAGTGAAACACAAAGTGATCCATGTGCATCTGCACACAGGGGGAGGGGCGGGCCATCTCCATGCACAGGGGAGGAGCCGGTCCACCGACACACGTTTACCAGGATGTCCATCTAGACATGTGAGCAGGAGGGTGAGCGGGCGACAGTCTTGGCTTAGTGTAGCTGAGCTGCCAGAATTTAAGGAGATAGCCAGAGAAGGCATGGGCAGCAGAATTTTGGAAACAAACATCCAGAAAAAAGAGAGAGAGACCAGGAGAGAAGGGTAGCAGTGCACAGATCTTCTCCAAAATGGGAACCATCCACCCAGGAGGTCTGCTGTAAGGATCAAAGATTATGTTAGTCTAGATCCCCTCAGCCACCACCCCCACCCTGCTGCCACACACACACACACACACACACACTGCCAGACCCCTAAAGAAGAGTGGGTGGCAGTTGCTGGTGCAGCCACTCTTGACCCGCCAGGGCTGCCCACGACCACGGGGACTGGTGTCCCACAGTCCTCCTGCAGAACAGCACTTAGAGGGTCCAAGAGGAGAAAAACGCCCCAGCAACTGGGGCCTTTGTCCCTGAGGACTACAGTGCATCTGACTCAGAAACGCGCACCCCATGGTGATCACTCTGTTCACTGTGAGGATTTTGTCCACAGTAAGAACTTGGGGAAAAGTCTTTCAGTGGCTTTATAGACAATTTTAATTGAAGGGGAGTAAGCCAGGAGTTTCGACACATTTTCTCTTGGTTCCATCCTTTATTCTGCAGCTTATAATCATCCCCTGTCCTCTTTCTCCCTGCACTGTTCTAATAGGCTGGGCACCCCACATCTCTCATCATATTCTACCGACCTCCTTCTGTTAAGAGAGAAGAGAGAGAAAAGAGAAACATGTACAGAAAAGAGACAAGTATTGGCGATTTTACACTAGGTTTCATGGATGGATCTCTGGCTTTTGAATAACGCACACAGCAAACTCTTTTCTAAGAACATGGCATTTTATAAATAGGCATTAATTAATCTGTTGTATGAATGAATGAAGAACAAACAGATGCCTGCACAGGAGATAGATACCTTTTGTCTGTGATTCCTAAAATGTTTTATGCTTTGGACCTGTATATAAAAATGTATTTTATATATTTTCGTTGGTCACCATGATTTAGGTGCTTGCTTGAATGCATTTTAAAACCTTTTGTGGTGCCAATTTGTAGTCTCAGTTTAAAGTGAATTATTCTTTGCATCAACAAATCACAGAAGTGGTGGTTATTTTCATTTGGCTATAGCTGTCTGGGGCAAACATGCAAAAGTAATTTGACTTGTTATTACTGTACTTACACCTGTCGTGTTAGGCATAATACACATACAATCAAACATAGGAAGAAAGAAGTTCTGTGTTACACAGGAAGTCCTGCATTTATGTCATTATAGAGCCTTAGAAGATGTTCATGTTGATTCAAAGATTGAGGAAAACAACTTCATCTCTCAGAACACTCTCTGCATACATTGTAGGTAAAAGTCTCTTTTTCTTCAGCTTTTTAATATTCCTTAACTTTGAATATTCACATAAATGTGACAGTGTTTCACCTGGAGATAATTTGGTCCGATTGAACCACCTTTGCCAAAATGGCTTTTATTCTCCCCATCTTAAGAGGCACCCTGGTTTGCTGCGAAGCCACCCCTGCCGTCTTGATATCTGTGCTCAGGGATGGCTGAAAACAGTCACAGCTTTATCACTGAAGCAAATGAAAATGTACATACTGACAGTCTTTTTCAAGGAAGATATTGCACTGTTATCAAAAACCAAAAGTATTTGCTTTATTCATGACACGAGACCAACTTAAAGGCTATTTCTTTTCATTTAGAATGTTCTAGAATTGAGCAAATATTCTTTAAACAAGGCCTCTGTGATGACAGATCATTTGATATACAACTCCATTTTAAAAATATCTGTAGCTCTTAAAATATTTCGCACAAGGAATCTGACCACTTCTGTTTGGAAGTATTGGGACAGGGCACAGTGACCCCGTGAGTCCCAGCATCCCCACAGTGACAAGGAGCTTCCTTGATGGACGCAGAGCACAGGCTTTGGAGTCTGAGACAGATGGACTCATCCCTCCCTGCCACTTAGCTCCTGTGACACTCGGGGGAAGTCACCGCTCTGCTGGGATTTAGCTTCCATCTCTGTAAAAGGGGGATTAACCGTGCCTCCTACACAGGGTGGTGACAGCAATTAAATGAGGAAAGCATTTAGCAGAATCCCTGGTACATACCAGGTACGGAAATGTACTAGGTACAGCTCTTATGCTTCTCTTGCAGTTGTTTATAAATAGGTCTTATTTATTGTCGGGGATGTATTCTTAGCACATACTTCATCCATTCACTTGAAAATGCATTTATTGGGTCCTGACGGCAGGGTAGTGAAAACATAGAATACATAACATACTCAGAATAAATAAATGCAGGTGAATATAAAGACATTCTATTTCATTACTTACACTGACCTTAAACCTTCTCAGAGAACAGTGGGTGAGGGAGATGAGAGAAGGCAGTGAGGGGCGGGGGCAGATGATGAGCTGCATTTTTGCAAAAGCTATATAAGAATTGTTATATACTGTTCTGATTTTTTAAAAAATGAACCCAAATGAGCATGTATTTATTTGCTATGGAGTACCTGAAATCTTTATTTGAAGACATTAAGAATCCATCCAGGCCAGGTGCAGTGGCACACTGTAATCCCAGCACTTTGGGAGGCTGAGGCAGGAGGATTGCTTGAGCCCAGGAGTCCGAGACCAGTTTAGGCAACATGGTGAGACTTTGTCTCTACAAAAAATAAAAAACATTAGCCAGGAATGGTGGTGCATGCCTGTAGACCCTGCAGTAGGGGACAGCGGGGTGGTTCGGGAGAGGATTGCTTGAGCCCAGGGAGGTCAAGGCTGCGGTGATCCATGATTGTGCCACTGCACTCTGGGCAACAGAGCAAGACCCTATTTGAAGGGGGAAAAAAAAAAAAGAACAAGAAGAATAGAAGAATCCACCCCCAACATACCAAGACAAGACATCCGTTGCTTCAAACACTGGGCCAGGCAGCTGTATGTTCCCACTTCCATTTTCAGGTAAGAAAAATAAAGGCCTAGACGATGGAGGGGACTTGCCCAGAGTCCAGTTTCAAGTCCGGTCTGGGGCTCTCCTCAGCATCCAGCACATGCTTCTGACTTTGCGCAAAGGTCTCGCTCCTGACAGGGACCGAATTACAGATTCTGCCACTTTACCCAAGAATTACTCTCCAAATGCCCTGGTCTCTTTGCAGCATGCAGCTCTCTGCCCCCATGTCGCCACCTCTGAAGGACTGACTGATTCCCTCGGCTGGTACCAGTGCCTGCTCCTGCCATGGGGCCCACGGGGAGTCTGCTGGGCAGCGGACAGATGCAGATCACCCTGTGGGGAAGTCTGGCCACTGTCGCCATTTTCTTCGTCATCACCTTCCTCATTTTCCTGTGCTCCAGTTGTGACAGGTGAGGACCAGAGTGTATGTACCGGTGCCTTAAACTAATACATCCCCTGTACCCAGAAGAGTTTCTGTGAAAAACCTGTTAGGAATGGAATCCCGCCACAGAGCTGTCCCAGAAACTTGTGCATTAGCTTTAACTCGCTTCTGTCCACTGCAGTGCATCTCGGGACATTCTTTATTCACTGAAGGAAAACCCATATTTGGTTTTGCTGGGGAGCAGCTAGAAGAGCCCTCATATTTTAAACTTCCCAGAACGAAAGTCTTGCTGTTCTTTGTATTTTAAACTTCCCAGAATGAAAGTCTTGCAGTTCTTTCGAGCACACCCTTGATCAAAATGGATTTTGTCTTTTTTCATCTGTGGGTGTTTTGAAATCTTGTGTGATGTGCATCTTTTTGCCACCACCCCGCGGAAGTCACAGAATGTTTGCTGCTACGTGGTTTCAGAGGGATTGTTTATGATTAAAAATGTGTAGTGTAGACCTTCAGTTTCTCAAGAAACAGATTATTTTCCCAGGAGAGGAACATGCTGTATGTGAAATAATCATCAGTGTCCTTCTTTTAGAGTTATACTTTTCTCTGTCTCCTCTGTCTCATGTAGAATGTCAGTACCCCCGCCCCCCCCCCCCCCCCAAGAGAAATCTTTGCCCAGAGAGAAGTTCTTTCTAACCAGAAGTGATTTTCAGGACATTCTGGAACTGTTACAAAGCACATAACCTTCCGCTGGGCTGGATGCCACCAGACACCCATGTAGACCAGCTGACGGTCAGCCAGCCCTGTCCAAACTCTCCCTCCACCACAGAAGCAACTCCAGGAGTGTCACTTAAAATTCTGAAATGGCTTCCTACCCTATAATCTGTCAGGAGGAGAAAAGCCAAGACTCTGTGAACCCAGCTAGCCTCCTAATCCCTGCCCAGCCTGGACCCAGACCTCTGTGGCTGGGACAGAGTCTGAATTATTGGGAAGATGAAGAGCGGCCACAGGGCCCGGACTTCCCTGGGCCTGGACGGGCCTGCTTCTGTAGTTACTCGTGCTCCCACTAGGTGTCACCCTTGTCTTATAGAGAACGTGGATGGGCCGGCCGCGTATTCTCTACAACTGATGGTTTTCTTTAGACTGTCCCGAGTAAAAACAAATTCTATTTTTACTTGACAGACTTTCCCATAGACTGGAAGTACATATGACTCATCCTGAGAGCATGTACCCTTCCTGGCATGCCAAAATTTGTATTTTCTTTATTTTCTCCATCCCACTGCAGTGTGTGACTTTGCAGAGACTCCAAGTGAGATAATTGTCCACATTTTCTCAAAAAAAAAAAAAGGTATAACTTACTCTGCTACTTTAGTTATAAACAGTTTCTACGCAGGCCCGGGCCTCGGTCCTCTCCTCGTGAACTTGTATGTTTTTTTCCCAGAAGAAGGGGTGCCAAGGGAGGGGACAGTTCCTAGTTGAGGCTGGACCTCCTCTTACCCAGCACCTGCTAACGGGCCATCAAGTCAGTGTCTGGTTTTGTCTTTGTTGACAAAATAAACATAAGGGATTTAAAAGCTGATAAGAATTGGTATAGGAAAGGGTAGTGTGTGCTTGATTTTAGGGGGGTACATTTGACATTACAACATTTCACTTTTCATTTCAGGGAAAAGAAGCCGCGACAGCACAGTGGGGACCATGAGAACCTGATGAACGTGGTGAGCCCACGTGTGTCGTCCGCCTGTCTACCTGTCCGCCTGTCCACCTGTCCGCCTGTCTACCTGTCCGCCTGTCCACCTGTCCACCTGTCCGTGTGTGCTCCAGAACATCAGCTACTTATCTCAGTGTGCTCCCATGTGCCCACAGCCTGAGTAGAACCCACGGGGAGAGCTAAGACTAAGTTAAACCGTGGCCCCCTCCACCACACACCCTCTTTCTGTAGGTTTGTGGCCGCCATGGCTGGAGGCCTGTGAGTTCCCGCGCGTTCACTGGGAGAGCTTCTGAAATGGATGCAGTAGTGCTGCTGCCGGAATGATCCTTAGATGGCTCCCACCTACTGCAGGGATGGGAGCTTTTTGCCTCTATTAATTTGCTAGAGCTGTCATAACAAAGGACCACAAACTGGGTGGCTTAAATAACAAGTTTGTTTCTCAGTTCTGGAGGCCAGAAGTGCAAAAATTAAGGTGTTGGCAGGATTGGTTGCTTCTGAGGGAAAGTCTGTTCTAGGCCTCTCCTGGCTGCTGGTGGTTTGCAGCCAAACCTTGGGTGTGACTTGGTTTATAGAGGCATCCCCCCAATCTCTGCCTTCATCTTCCTACGGCGACCTCCCTCTGTGTTTCACATCACCTCCCCTCTGTGCATGGCTGGCTGTGTCCAAGTTTCCCCATTTTATAAAGACACCAGGCATATTGGACTAGGGCCCACCCAACTCTAGCACGACTTCATGTTAACTGGCTTCATCTGCAATGACCCTGTTTCCAAATGTTTGTTCCAAATGCACCTGTTTCCAAATTCTCAGCTGCTGGGGGTTAGGACTTGGACATGAATTTTGGAGAGACACAGTTCAACCCATAACAACAGGTCATGAAGCTGGAGGGAGCCTGGGACCCACAGCACCCTAGGTATAGCCTGGCCTTGCTGGTGTTTTCCCAGCCCTCAGTATCTTACAGGTCCTGATGATCCTAGGCCCCCGGGGATCCACCCTGGCGAGGAACAGCCTGAGAGTGTCCAGGTCCTTCCTTGTCCTCTCTGACCCAGGCCCGTGCTTTTGAACAGCCGCTGCAGAGGGGCCCATCCTCACATTAGCAAGGCAGAGTTCAGAGTCTGCCCTGAGTCCCGTGGCAGTGCCACAACAAAAGTTGCTTCTTGTTCAGGACGTCATTTCTCAAGGTCAAGCAAAAACTCGTTGTGGGGAGAGGGGTGCAAACAAGGAAGCATGGATGAGCCAAGGTCTGGTGTAAAACCCGCAGCCAGCAGATGTTTGCAGAGATGACCAGAGGCCATCTCCGGTCTAGGCTTCCTGACCTGCCAATTCTTGGGACTCCTCTGGCCCAAGCAGGCAGGAAGTTGTCAGGACTCCCGGTTCCTCCTGGGACCCCCAGGATTTTCCTTCCCTCCCTTCTGCATCCGTGCACCCACCTCACCCTTTTCCGCTTTCCTGGGCCCTCATCACCACTACTCCCTTTACTCTTTTTCTCGCCCTGTTCCCATCTCTGGTTGTCCACATTGTCCCCACTTCTCATCTGTTCCCAGCGCCTCTGCTCTGCCTGGTGATCGCTGCTGCGGTGGCCTCAGCAGGGCGGGTGGGAGGGATGGAGGGAACGCCCCACTGTCGCTTCTCCCCATGCAGACTCCAGGCCCCTGCCTTTCCTCACTCCACCATTCTCCTGGTGCCAGTTGGGAGGTGAGGAGGGGCTGGGGAAGGGCTCGCACCGCTATTCCTCACTTCCTTCTAGAGCAGGGCTGCTTCTGCGGTGTGGCCTGGACCACTGCCAGCAGCAGCAGCAGCACCTGGGAGCTCCTTAGAAATGCGAGTTCTCCTGGGGGTGGGGCCCAGTGAAAGGCTAACAAGCAGCCCAGGCAATCCTGTTGGATGCTCAAGTGTGAGAGCCCCTGGCCTAGAGCTTGGGTTCCTGCTGTCCTACTCAAGGTCGGCAGCAGCCCGGGTGAGATAGGAAGAGAGTGGCAAGTGAATAAAAGGAATAAGCTGACTTCCATCCCCATGCCTTCTTCCTCATCCACCGTATAATTCATTATTGCCCCAACCCATAGCCTCATGTATATGGATGTGAATGTCTGTGAGAAAGCGCGAGCACACACAGGAACACATGCTTACCTGGGCACTGGCACCCATGTACACATGCTCGCCCACCCAGCTCTCTTTGAGAGCTTTTCAGCTCCTAGATCTTACACAACTTGCGGATGCTTCATCTCATAGAAGCAAAGATTAGGAATAGTAGTTAGAGTCTAGATTATGGTAACTTCAGCTGTGATCAATTATGCTGTTATGGGCCCACCTGGGAACCTTCCTCCCCCACACCAATGCCTGCCCATTTATAACAACATTTCTGGGATATTAGCACCTGCATTGCAAATTCCTGGCAACGTAACACAGTGACCCATCTCACTGGGGGCTCATCAGACGTGAATGAACTGCATTGGATTGAAACAGCTGACTCCCAATACACTTTTGGATCATGGCACGGCATGAACTATCTGCTGTCTATTATTAGCTTCCAATCAAGAGTCAGAATTTGTGAGGCCAACTAGCAAAGGTTCGTGTGCTGTTTACATCACAACTTTCCTTGTAGAATCTTGGAGCACGAGGTAGCCTCTTGGAACATGCAGGCTATGAAAAGGACAGGGAGCAAATCACATCTGCAGTGATTCAGGCTGCAACCTGAGACAAGTTGGGTATTTAAAGAAATACATGAACACCAACTTGCTTTCTGACTACTCTTGGCTATAGCCGAGCCTGGCATATTGTTCTGGGTAACATCTACACGTTCTATCCCTGCAGAAAGCCAACTGTTGATGCCATTCTTCCCTCCAAATGTCCTAAGTTTATTTGTGAGAATAAGAGAGATTTGCAGAGGTGGGCACAGTGGCTTATGCCGGTAATCCCAGCACTTTGGGAGGCTGCGGTGGGCACATCACTTGAGTCCAGGAGTTCGAGACCTGCCTGAGCAACATAGCAAGATCCCATCTCTTAAAATTTGTTTCAAATTAACCAGATGTAGTGGCGCATACCTGTAGTCCCACCCGTTCCAGAGGCTGAGGCAGGAGGATCTCTTGGGCCCAGGAGTTTGAGGCTTCAGTGAGCTATAATCACGCTACTGCACTCCAGCCTGGGCAACAAGCTGAGACCTCATCAGGAAAAAAAAAAAAAAAAAAGTTTGCAGAGCTAATTTTCAGCGTATTATTGTTTCTGTGAACCTAGCAGCCAGAGGCTTGGCTGGTTCTAAAATGGTTTCAGAAATCAATAGCATTATCTTTCTCTAACCAGATTTATGTCTGTTCCCTTCACATGACAAAGGGTGATGCCTTTCCCCATTTCTCATGGCATGGCACACCTTTACCAATAATAATGATTTACAGCACCTGTGTTGGAAGCATGTCTTTTTTGACCAGTCCCCTTCCTGCCTTGAGCTAAGGGAACTGATACCTCACAACCTGCCTGTAGCCCTGTATAGGTCACCCGGCAGGAAGCTCTGCACATGGCTTTGGAAGATTCCAGTGCCCCTAAGATGCTGGGACAACACTGTCTAACAGAACTTTCCACAGTGCTGGAAGTGTTCTGTATCTCCTATTTGATATGGTATCTACTGGCCACATGTGGCTATTGAGCGCTTGAAATGTGACTAGTCAACAAGGAACTCAGTTTACTTTATTTTATTTTATTTTATTTAAATCTAAAAACAGTAGCTCCCCTCAATCTGTAGTTTTGATTTCTGCAGTTTCAGTTACCCACAGTCAACCACAATCCAAAAATAGTTGAGAACCATACAAGATATTCTGAGACAGAGAGAGAAAGAGCACGTTCACATAACTTTCATTGTAATATATTCTAGTTATTCTGTTTTATTATCAGTGGTTATTGTTTAATCTCACAGTTATTGTTTTATTATCAGTGGTTATTGTTAAATTACTGTACTTATAAATTAAACATCATCATAGTATAACGTATATGGATAGGAAAAGACGTAGTCTGTGTAGGGCTCAGTACTACCCATGGTTTTAGGCATCCACTGGGGGTTTTGAAATGTATCCTCTGTGGATAGGGGGGACTAATGTAGGAGATTCTGTTTTCTGTTTCTGCTGTTTTAATTTTTTGAAAAAGCCATGGATCTTCTCTGCTCTGCCGTCCAGAGTTTTAGCAATGTGATGCATTTGTGTTTTTGGTTTTGTTTTTGTTTTTTCAGCCTTCAGACAAGGAGATGTTCAGCCGTTCCGTTACTAGCTTGGCAACAGACGCTCCTGCCAGCACTGAGCAGAATGGGGCACTCACCAATGGGGACAGTAAGTTCTTCAAAAATACCAGCTTTCCACAGAGGCCTCGCCACCTTTAGAAGTCCTAGGTCTCAAAATATGTAGCTCAAAAAGGAGGAAATGTGTTATTGCTCACTTTTAGTATTACTAGCAGTTTTAGCAAAACACTTCATTTGGATGAATACTACTACTTATTAATCCACTTCTGTGTGCCAGGCATTGTTCTAAGACTGGTGCACGTACTAATTCATTTATTCTTTTAGAATATTTTAGTAAATTTACATGTACTAGTTCATTTACCCCACGAGATTACTGTTAATAATATCACTAGTCTGTAAGATCGTTATTATTACTATTCACAATTTAAAGGTGACAAATCTGGGCACATTGCTGCTGTAACAATATAACCACAAACCTCATAAATAACAATGTAAACCTTAAAATAACGAATAACAAACCTTAAAATAAAGAAATTTATTGACTTGCAATTCTGAGGTCAGAAGTCCGAAATGGGTCTCCCTGGAGTAAAATCAGGGCATCCATAGGCCTGTGGTCCTTCCTGAAGCCTCAAGGAGAATCCATTGGCCTCTCCCTTATTCTTCACATCGCTCTCTGACCCTTCCACCTCCCTATTCACTTATAGGGATCCCTGTGATTACATTGGGCCCACCTGGATAATCCAGGCTTCCCTCTCATCCCAGTCATCTAATTAACAGCCTTAATTCCACCTGTAACCCTAATCCCTCCATACCCTCCACAAAACATAACACATTCACAGGTTCCAGGAATTAGGAGGCAGACATTTTTCAGGGTCGTTCTGCCTTCCACAGAGATGTTGCCAATTTGCCTGATATCATAGAGCCAGCGGGCTAAGGATCTGTAATTGGAAGCAGGCAGCCTGAGCCCTGGGCGCACACTCAGCCACGCTGCATGACCCGCACATCGTGCATTGTATGCTCTTGCTGATGGAAGGAGCAGCTAGGTTTCCTTCCTGCTTTTGAGTTTACACCATGCTTTCACCTGAGGTAGGAGGGCGTCCTGTTACCCCTGTTTACCGATAAGGAAACGGGGGGGTCATCGGGACACCGGTGCCTGTTCTCTGTCCACATGATATAGACAACTAGAACCAGAGAGCAAAAGTTCACCCCTCGTGATGATCAGGGATTTAGAACACACAGGGGAGTTGGGTGTTGGTAAGTTCAGAAGGACTGGGGGATCCATTGTGATTTTTTTCACATACCCCTTGGAGACACTATTTCTAATTCCCCCAGTGTGAGACACTAGTGGAATAACTTGCTTACTTTGTGTCCACATCCTAAGGACAAGGCTTTCTGTGTCGTTGAACGATGTGTCTGTAGCACCCCGCACCATCCCTGGCGCATGGCAGGCACTCACAACACCGTTGACAAAGGGACGGCTGAACAGCTTCACACAATAGCATCTCTGTGGCTGGCCAAGAATTTCATATTTGGTTTTTTCTAATTTGAGGTAGGAATGTTGGTGGCGGTGAGATGGAAGCAAGGTATGAGGTGCCAGTCCCTTTGTGCTAATGGCTGAAGGGTGCATGTTTGCCCTGTGGTTTCCATTATATCTGCCAAACAAAAGTGACCTGTGTGAAAGGAGGTGGCTACCAATAATTCCCTCCACACAGGCAGGCGCCAGTGGGGCTGGGGAGTGTGGTCACTGCACATGCTGCCTTTCTGGTGTCCAGCCTCCCAGAGTTCGGCTGCATCAAACTGGTCATCTTCTGGTCACATTGGACAATCTGCCTACAAGAGTCTCATTGGAGTGACATTAAGGGAAGTAATTGTGAACTACACTTACAGCCAAGATAACTTATTAAATCTTGTATTGGGAAAGATATAATGAACAGCTTTATTTTAAACTGTGTTTGAAGTAGGGCACCAACTGACAGTCAGAGCAACTATAATTTGTGCCTGAGACTTAAATAAAAAGCACGCATCTTGATTTAACCTAACTTTATATTACCTGATTCTCGGTAATGATTATTGAAAGAGTTGCCTTTCTCCACTTTTAATGTGTGTGCTGCTTTAGTTCTTTCAGAAGACAGTACTCTGACCTGCATGCAGCATTACGAGGAAGTCCAGACATCGGCTTCGGATCTGCTAGATTCCCAGGACAGCACGGGGAAGCCAAAATGTCATCAGAGTCGGGAGCTGCCCAGAATCCCTCCCGAGAGTGCAGTGGACACCGTGCTCACAGTGAGAAGTGCGGACGGGGACCAGGGCCCAGGGATGGAAGGGCCCTATGAAGTGCTCAAGGACAGCTCCTCCCAAGAAAACATGGTGGAGGACTGCTTGTATGAAACTGTGAAAGAGATCAAGGAGGTGGCTACAGCTGCACACCTGGAGAAAGGCCACACTGGCAAAGCAAAGTCTACTTCTGCCTCGAAAGAGCTCCCAGGGCCCCAGACTGAAGGCAAAGCTGAGTTTGCCGAATATGCCTCGGTGGACAGAAACAAAAAGTGTCGCCAAAGTGTTAATGTAGAGAGTATCCTTGGAAATTCATGTGATCTAGAAGAGGAGGCCCCACCACCTGTCCCTGTTAAGCTTCTGGACGAGAATGAAAACCTTCAGGAGAAGGAAGCGGGAGAGGCGGAAGAGAGTGCCACAGACAGGACCAGTGAAACTAACAAGGTGGGCGCTGGCGTTTTGTTTTGCCTTTGTGGGTTCCTGTCCTGGTTAGGAATCTAGCTGGCCCTGGAGCTGTTCTGGGAAATATCTGCAAACGCTTCCCAGTTTGTGGAATGATGAGAGCTGTGTTCATGTAAGCTGTGTTTGGCTTTCCCCCCCTCCAAGTAATAAAATACCAAAAACTTACATTTATCAAATATTTCTCTCAGCACCTTACTTGGATATTTTCACATTGTTTCCATCATGTCTAATTAGGGCCAAATCTTGTTTACTTCATTTTGAAGTCCAGGAATTAAATAGAGAAACTGGACTCTTTGCCTATACATTTTACCTATTCTGCTTGTTGGTTGCCTCAGCAGCATGGTGACCTTTACCCTTCCAGGATCCCCAAAAATCAGCATGCATAGCAATAGGCACCATGGGAACCAACTCCCAGGTGCCCCTGGTTATATCTGATTGTACAAACCTTCATATAAACCAACAGATCTTATTTTGTGACCATTTTTAAACTATAACCTATACTTCCTCAACTTAGATATTCAACAAAGCTCTAAAATGCATTAGCAATCCACAGCCTTCTGTATATGTCTGATAACTTGATATCTGAGCCACGGTGAAGTTCACATCCCTAGTTGTCAAAATCTCTTTGGGATTTAACTAGGTCCATCTGCTTCAGGCAACTAATAACTAATTTCTGTTTTCTACACAGAAAAAGAGCAAGGTTCTCTCTTCTATTCAGATTTTAGTAGGAAGGACAAGTAGCAGGTTAGCCAGTCACTAGTAGCCTTGAAAACCTTCTGTAGTTCATGGCCAGAGGCGACCCCTCACCTCACTCTGTCCAAATTAGACCAAGCAAGTCATTCTTTGTGCTGTTCTCTGAATGCATTTCAACTTTTCATATTATCCGTGAAATCAGCTGTTGACAGCACCAATAAAAGGGTTTATGAGCATGTTCATAAAATGCAAAAATGCAGTCCAATTGTTTGCCCTTCATAGAACCAAAGACCGTAAACCTGATGTAAAGTTTATAACGCCTAAACCAGATAAAGCTTTTTGCTTACAAGCATTAGAAAGATAAGAGGATGAGTTGTCTAACCATCGCTAGTAAACGGTTCTCCAGATTTCACATTAAAAACTGGAAATACTCATCTGGAAATGAAATTATCCTTCCACAATATAGTAAAAATGAGTAATCCATCATCTTTATATAAACAACCCTGATTTTAAGTGAACTGAGAATTTGAAGTATTTAATATTCATTTATTTAACAAAAGATCTTAATGAGCACTGCTGTGTGCCACAGTCTTCTATGTGCTGGAAACAAAACGTGTATGTGAACAAAATCCCTGCCTGTGGAACTCACATCTTAGTGGGAAGAGACAGACATAAAGTTTAAAGTTTGTAAGAGAAAAAAAGAGAACTGAATAAGGGGGACTGAGAAAACAGGTGGGGAGTACAGTTTTGGATAGAGTGGTCAGGGTCTGCCCAGCTATGAAGGTGACATTTGAGACAAAGGAGCCAAGATTTGTGCTTTTGTGGAAAGAGCACATGAAGCAGAGGGGATGCCCAGTGTGAGGACCCTGAGGTTAGAGCTTGCAGCTGGCTTTTTAAGGGAAGAGGAGGGGACTGCTGTGGCTGGAGAGGGAAGAACAAGGACAGCAGTGAGGAGAAAGAACCAGAGCTCGATCCTGGATAGCCTTGGCTTATAGTCTGAACACTAATAATGTCACTAGCATCCCGAGCACCAGAATGGCATAACCCAGCCTATGTTTTCAAAGGATCCCTCTGACTCCAGTTTTGAAATAGACTATAAAGGGTAGAAGTGAGGAGACCAATTGGGTGGCAACTCTAATAAACCAGATTAGAAATGGCAGTGACCTGGATCAGGGCAGAGGCAGCAGAGGTGATGAGAAAAGCTAAGCCAGAGCCAAGAGATTTGCTGATGGATCCTAAGTGTAGTAAGATAAAGAAGAGACAGTGATGAGTACGAGGCTGGGCCCAGCACGCAGGGAAGATGGAATCGCTGTTAACTGAAATGAAGAGGATACAGGCAGAGCAGGTTGAGAGGGAGATCCAGCATTCAGGACTGGATATGTTTAGCTTGAGATACTGAGTGGACTTCCAAGTAGAGTTTATCAGATGGTAGCTGGATTGATGAGCCGGGTAAAGAGGAAAGGCCAGGGCTGGATTTGCTGATGTGGGAGTCATCCACAGAATGTGATTTTAAAAGTCATGAGATTGGATGAGGTCACAGGATAGGTGAGTGTAAATAGAGGCTGGCAGAGCTCCAAGAATAGAGATCTGGGAAAGGAACCAGCAGAAGAGACCAAAGTAGGAAACAAAAACAGGAAAGTTGTAGAGTCCTGGAAGCCAGTGAAGAACATGTCCAGGGTGGAAGGAGTGGCGGCCTCTCTGCCGAGTGCAGCGAGTACGTCAGGGAAGATGAGTCTCATTGGTGCCCTTGACAAGAGCAGTCTCTGTGGAATGGTAGAGGCAGAAACGTGACTGAAATGGATTAGAAAGAGAATAGGAAGAAAAGAATGGTTTGGTTGACTTTTTAGACAACTCTTTAAAAGATTTTGCTATAAAAAGGTGAGACAGGCTGGGCGCAGTGACTCATGCCTGTAATCTTAACACTTTGGGAGGCCGAGGTGGGTGGATCACTTGAAACCAGGTGTTTGAGACCAGCCTGGGCAATGTAGCAGAACCCCGTCTCTACAAAAAATACAAAAATTAACTGGGCATGGTGGTGTGCACCTGTAGTCCCAGCTACTTGGGAGGCTGCAGTGGGAGAATGGCTTGAGCCTGGGAGGTCAAGGCTGCAGTGAGCCAAGATCACGCCACTGCATCCCAACCTGGATGACAGAGTGAGACACTGTCAAAAAAAAAAAAAAAAAGGAAGTGAGATAATGAGTAGATAGAATTTCAGAGGACTGGATTTGTTTTGTTTTTAGAATGAGAGAAACAACAGCATGTTTGCATGTGGCTGGGAATGATCCTACACTGGGAGAATTCCTGGCTCTGTACTCACACATAGGTATGTGGGGACAGGGTCTAGTGTGTAGGAAAGAGGGGATCACCTGAAGGCAGAACATGGAAAATCCATTTGACAGGGAGGAAAGAAAATAGATTAATGCAGAGGCTGAGGGTGGAGGTAAGAGTTCATACAAATTTCTTCTGATTCCTTCAGTTTTCTTAGCCAACTAGGAAGCAAGATCATCTGCTCAGAGTGAAGATAGGTGAGGAGGTGTTGGAAGTCTAGGGAAAAGAGGAGAAGCTGCAAAGTAGACTGTGAGTTGAGCAGAGACTGGGTGTATTGGGGAAGCATCAGATGATACGGAGCTGCTTTAAGGACTCACTAGAGGGTTGAGTTCACATATGATTGGCAGTTGACTACGGAGCTTAAGCTTAGTAAAGCAGTACAGGACACCAAGGAGAAGGGCAGACGTTGAAAGCATGAATGGGTCCCAATAGTGTTGAAGGAGCATTGGAACTGGGTTACAGAAGGAGTGAGCTTTGACCACGAGCACTGGTCTGAAAGGGGCTGCAAGGAGCTGGGCTGGTGGAGAGGCTGTGGTTTAGGAAAGGCCCGGGTGCAACCATGAGGGTGCTGAGGTCAGGGGTGGACATGGAGAGGGGACACAGAGCACAAGATCAGTGGGAGCAGGGGAAGTCAAGGAACTGAAAGGCAGGATTTAGGATACACGTTTGTTGAGGTCACCAAAAATTAAGACAAGGGATGTGTTAGAGAATCAGTAAACCAAGAGCCAAAATCATTGAGAAATCAGGCAGGGGGCAAAACACAAAATGTGAGTCATTTTCTCCATTAGCTTTGAAGTTTCCAAATGACTTAAGGATCTTTCTGATAACACCAGCAAACTGTAGAATATAAAATTCAGGCATTTGATAAAGAAACAGCATGTTTTTAAGTATTAATCCTCCATGGATGACCAGTGCTTCAGTGACAATTAGGAATTCGAACAGTCGTCTAAATAATTCTTTTGGCTTCTTTGTACCTATAGATTCAAATACAAAATTAGAGGAAATTTCTCTAAGAATACTACTACTAGATATCCCTGAACATCGTATATGTAATAGATTGCATAAGTGTTTGTTTCTCTTCCTATAATTTCTTCCTGGTTCCATAAAAATCATTTGAAAACATTTCTAGACAGATATGAGGAAACGTGCAAAAGAAAGGTTAGATTGTTAACATCAAACTACTTTCCTTGGCTTGTGTTTGTTCTGACAGAGATTTAGCTCATTGTCATACAAGTCTCGGGAAGAAGACCCCACTCTCACGGAAGAAGAGGTAAGTTTTGTTTCTTTTTAAAAAGAGAAAACTCCTGTATTAAAGAATAGAGCTTTTCCCCTTGAATACATGCACTGTAATGTTACCTTTGAAAGAGATGAAATATTCTCCTACGCCTATGTTTGAGATCAAGACTTGGGATGTTGGTTTTATAATGGCTCAGAGAGACTGACGGGCAGACCAGACAAGAAGGATGACAGGACAAGCAGTCAGCTTAGGAAAAGAAACTGAGCAGGAAAGCAGGGTCAGGAAAAATAGAGAGGGCAGGGGAGAAGAGTAGAAGAAAAACATTCCAGCATGGGAGCAGTCAGCAGTCAGGAAGACCACATCAGAAGGAAATGAATCATGGGTTGGAAAATTCAGGAAATTAGAACAGGTGGATGTAGGGAATTTGCTCCCTCCTGGGAGACAGAAAGAGGAGGTCTCCGTGTGGAAATCTGGATGCTGAGAGCAGATTAACTTCAGTAAGTACAGTTCCAGGCTGGAGCGAGGGTCAGACATAGCAGCCAACAAGAGCAGATCACATATTCCCAAGCACCAGGGTGCAAAATTCACGGGTTAGATTTTCAATGAAAGATTAAAATTGTTAAAGCCATTATTTTATATATATATACATATGAAATATATATATGTGTATACACACACACACACACACATATATATATATAAAATGTCGAGCTATGCTCAGAGAGCTGAGCACCTTTTGATCTAACTGCATATAACTTCTATCTGGAATTCCTAGCAGAGTAAATTGTGTACACGTAGAAGAGCGAAGTACATATGCAGGTACATCACTTCTTATAGGACTCTGAGTAAAACATTAGAATATGGAGATAGACTCCCACATTGAATGTTTAAGGAGCAGAAGTGCTTTCCCTAGGTGATATTGCCCACCCTCTTCCATGTTTCTACCTCCGGAATGGACCAGCCATCTGTCTATCTGGTTGCACAGACCAAAACCTAGGGGTCATCTTGATACTTCCTTTTCCTCACTGTCCTCCAACACAGTCAATTGCCAAGACCCATCAGTTGCACCTCCAAACTGTTTTCTTTATGTACCCACCTTCCTCAAGCCCACTGCGGCCGCCCCTCCCTAGGCCAGAGCAGTCCCCTCCTGCTGGTCCCTGGCAGCTCCTTGGCCTCCCTCCACTCTGTTTTCTACTCTGCAGTCAAAGTGATCCCATTTGGGACAAGAAGATAAAATATATAGGAGTTCTGGAAATTACAGGCTATGTAAAATTGTAAATTGCTTCTTATCTTACAATTGAAACAGGACCTAGTTAAACTGATGAATTTTTAGCATGACATAACTATGACTCACAGACATTCATTTTAGGACAAAGAGGAAAAATAAATATAAAAGGGTTTTTTTGTATTTATGTAATTTAATGTTAAACAGTCCAGACTGAAGCTGAGATCTGAGCTTTAAGTTCTGTTATCCCAATTTAACAGAGTGTTGTGGAAAGGATTGATTAGAAAAAGAAGAGAAATGGGGAAAAGGAAGAGAGTGACTTATGAGAATATAGCAACAATTTACAGACTGAGGAATAACGATGAAAGTTTTAAAGAGAAAAATTGAGAAGCTAAATAGCAAGGGGGCTAGAAGAGAAACCTGTATACAAAATAAAAATAATAGTCCTAATAGTCATAGAAAACAGTCAAAAGGAATATTAGAAGACTCAAGAAGCTTTTATAAAAGTTGAAATGCACAGTGAGACCCTCCTCACACTAGGTTCATTCCCAGAGTCAATATTAAATTGCAAGTTAATGAATGAGGACAAAGGTCAAGAAGACCAAGTACTCTTACAAAGAGTGAGGGGCATTAATGGCAGGGACCATGGGGAAGAAAGCTGAGGAGAGAAGCAAACGGTGGTGAGGGGCTGACTCTCACTGTTCCAGTCTAAGTCAGGGTACGTTTGTCCTCCTCGATGTTACCAGGTGATGAATAAACTGGTATGCCTCTCCCCTCACCACTGTCATCCATTGTTTACCCTTTTATCATCTGCCCATATGTAATTTTTGGCTTAGACCACCATTTAGATAATAAATTCTGTGTTTGCACTTCAGTATAAACAGCAGTGAATTTTTTTTGTTCTCCCTAAATTCAAAGAAATTATAATTATTCTATTTTGAGAGCAGTTTTTTCATTAAAACCTCTAAGGTGAGAATGTTAATAATTTCATATTCATTAGGATAGTCAGATCAACATGGCAAGAGTTTTCCAAAGACTGTTTTTCTGAACTGTAAACCCTTGGGATTGTCAAGGCTTCACCAAACTGAACCAGCCACCAGCCTGTAATGAAAAGTTCTCATGCAAATGACCAGTTAGCATGTGGCAGGCCTGTCTTAAGAAGCTTTTGAGGCCAGCTAGAAACTTCACCCACAGTATGTGAGAAAAGTGAAAGCAGGAAAATGTCCCTCAGCCCTTCGGAAGCTAGGCATCTGTGAGGAAGCATGTTCATGTATTTCCTGGGTATTTGAATGAATCAAATCACTGTGATAAAAATAAACACAGGTAATGAAGGGTATTTTTACTTATTTCCAACCATGATTTTTCACAATAAAATAATACTCCCCAAAAGTCTCCTAATCAGTACATTTAATCTTCACAATGAATGAAATCCCTGTTGATATCGGAGGTGACAAAGGATTTATTAGTGAGACTGTGAGGACTGTGAGGGTGTGCTTGGAGAGCCACTGGCTCTTACCATAGGAAATAGTATCCTGTAAGTTGTTATTTCTGACTTGGCTGAATGCAAGCCAGAATGAGTTTTCCCACTGAATAAAACTGGACCTGGTCTGTCAATGTCTGTTTAACCAGTAATACACAACTAAGTCAAAAACTAATGGACAGGAATACCCTTTCAGATATATGTGTACCACCAACGAGAATCCAGCAACGCGTATTGGAGACCACTGTGACGCAGGAAGCATGGAGTAGTCTAATTCAGTGGTTCTCACACTTTACTGGCCATCAGAATCAGCACCGATTGCTGGGCCCCAGCCCTGAGGTTCTGATGTGGTGGTTCTGGGGTGAGGCCTGAGAACTTGACTTTCTGACAAATTCCCAGATCCTGCTGCTGCTGGTTTACAGCCCACACTTTGAGAATCACTAGTCTACTGTGTGTTTTCTGTCCTTTTTTGTAAAACAGTGGAGCTCTTTTTCAGGCAAAATATCATTCTGATATAGAAATGAAATAAAACACAATGCTGTGGTCAGGTTTCCAGGAGCTTCAGGAGCTTTCCATCCTACCTCTCCTCAAATTCCTCCGCAGACCCAAGAGAACTGGGTTTTCATGGAATTAAGGGAATATGACTGACCTCGTTAACACAGTTGAAGATAATGTGTGTAATTATTCTCTAGTAATATGCTCCATAATTAGTACAGATAAGAAAGAACAAATCTTTAAGGAGCACACACACACAGAAGCCCAGGAGTGCTCAGTATGTGGCTTGCCACTAAAAAGAGGGAGGGGGAAGTCACAGCTGGAAGTTTATTCAGCTCTTCCTTTGTTTCCTAGATCTCTGCTATGTACTCATCGGTGAATAAACCTGGACAGTTAGTGAATAAATCAGGACAGTCGCTTACAGTGCCAGAGTCCACCTACACCTCCATTCAAGAGGACCCACAGAGGTCACCCTCCTCCTGTAATGATCTCTATGCTACTGTTAAAGACTTCGAAAAAACTCCAAACAGCACACTTCCACCAGCAGGGAGGCCCGGCGAGGAGCCAGAGCCTGATTATGAAGCGATACAGACTCTCCACAGAGAGGAAGAAAAGGCCACCCTGGGGACCAATGGCCACCGCGGTCTCGTCCCGAAGGAGAACGACTACGAGAGCATTAGTGACTTGCAGCAAGGCAGAGATATTACCAGGCTCTAGCAACCCAGAGGACAACCCTGGGTAGCCTGTGATCAGTATCTGGGGACGTTTCTTCCATGGCAGAGAAGAAGTGACACAAACCTATACTTCATATGCTGCTTTAGTCACCTGAAAATAGTTGGAGAGGCCCTGACTGTTCTCCCAGTTGTTCAGTTTCTGAGACAGAGAGGTACGGACTAGGCTGCACCTGAGTGTGCCCCTGCCTGCCAGATGGACAGGCACACCCAAGCACATCCCCCTCCCGCACCCTCACCGCCCACAAAAGACCCCAGCTGTCAGTGGTCTCCTCTCATTAGTGAGGAAAGCCAAGCTGTATGGAAAAACTGCACTCACCAAGGACCGCAACGCCGCCAGCCTGAAGTACTGCCATTCGGAAGGACCAGGTTTTTCTTCCCCTCTTTCCTTTTCTCTGTCTGCTATTGACTTCAAGGCTTTTTCCCCCCTTGGAATGTCCAGATTCCTGTGGTTCATTCCAAGGAAATTTTCACACGAAGCTTGGCCTTTGCCTTCAATGTAGGTGTTTCAGGATGGCGACAAACCGTGGCTGCTGCTTTCTGCCCAGGTCGCCAGTCCTCCCCAGAGAGCTGCGCGTCGGCACCTGGGGATCTGGACCCTGCAGCTGAAGGGACTGGGGAGGGACGTCCCTGGAGTCTCTTCCATCTTTGTTCCTTCTTATTTTGGCACTCTATATCAGCAGCCTCTCCCCAAAGTACTTGAAGTCAGTTTTAGATGCTTTATTTTATTTTTCTAGTCAAAAATGTGTTTCCCCCACTGTTTGAAAACTCGTCCGAGCCTTTTCAGTGTTTTCCATGAGTATTGTGGTACTTCTATACTTGTTTAAGCCCAGAACTCCTTCCTTCAAAACAGAGAGCCTTAATCTTTATGTTGGGACACAGACCACATATTTGGATGGCAGCCATGCATCCATCTCCGAAGGGCTGTGCACGTGAATGTGTATTTCCCATGGTCTCCACTGCCCACACCAACAGTGTGGCATCTCATAAGTTAACTGCTACCCTAAGGTAATCTAAGATTAAAATGTAAACATTTATTTTTGTTATGTAAGTTTATAAGATGTTTTATGTTCAATGCCTAATTTCTCAAAAGTGCCAGAAAAAAATGTATATTAACTGTTTTGATTTTATGTACAATGATTTATACTCTCCTTTGGAAAAGATATCATAAAGCACATAAGCTAGATCATTACAAGGAGCTGTTATCTTTTTCCTAATCAAGTGTTTAAAACACTGATGGTTTTTAAAGACTCACCTTTGTAAATGGTACTTGGAGCTCCTGATCCAAATTACCTAGACCCCTAGAGAAATAAATGGAAAATACATAAATAATTAATCATTTTCATTGGTTTACGGTGGGCAATATTGAAATATTTGAAAGGATAAAAATGGAAAGAAGAACAAAATATGATGAGAGGTGGCTGTGAATTATAAACCTCATAAAAGTGTCATAATTCAATTAAAGTTTAATTACATTTTTTCAGAAAACAGTGATGAATTCTGTAGTCCAGTGCTTGCCAGTGCAAACTGCCTATTGGAATCTTCTTCCTATATTTTACAAACATCAGTGGCTGAAATAGCTCAGATTAAGAGCTCAGCCAGGTTTGAATTTAATCATCTCTTTAGATCTTATAAGGCCGGCATTAGGAAACTTGTTCACTTTTCATTTTCAAAGGAGCCTAGTTGAAGTGCTGTTATGAGTGTGAGCTATGGAAAGACCGCTTTTCCTACACTGATAAAGAAAAAAAAAATGAGGAAATTATTTCATCCCATTGTGACATCTGTGACTTTTTGGATTTAATAATCTTGCTGTTTTTCTTCTTTATGGGCAAAGAATATAATTGGGAGGATGAAGTGTGTTAAAAATTGTAGAGACCAGCTCACTGGAATGTTTTTCCATCCTTGTATTCATGGTTTGACTTTGTGACTGCTCTACATTGCATTTCTGACATTGCGAAGTGAGCTATGTTGGTGGTGGTGATTATTTTGCAATCAGCCTGGTCTCTCCCATGAAGATGTCATGTGCATAAACACAATCATCATTGATTAGAAGATCATAGCAGAATACCCTTGGATTAGAGAGAAGTTTGCACCTTGCATTTCTCTGAATTCCAATCTCTCATAAGCACTGCTTTGCCTGGTGATTTTCACTGCTTTGTGTCAATGACTTTGACTCAGCAGCCTCTCACATGATGGGGTTCTTTAGTACATGGTAACAGCCATGTCATCTTACACACCTAACATTGTGCATGCTGTAGTGACATCCTTTATAGGCACCTTACAGCTCAAAACTTGTGTTTCATTTCATGCCTTACTTATCAAAAAGGCAGGGAGGTAGGTATGATCTCTAAAGTAAAAAAAAAAAAATTAAAAATAAATTACCTTTTTATAGAAAGCTCATAAATAATCATGTAATTTTGCAATTTTGTTACCAAAATATCCCCCAGAAGTTTTCAAATATTAGTTCTGCAATGTGGCCATGAAATATGCACTGAAATATACCTTTTAATTTGAGAACCAGTGGTTAAAATAAGCTGTGATATAAAGTATTTTCAGTGTACTTTTAAAGGAACTGTAAGGCCCTCCAGCATAGACACTAAAAGAATAGACGGTAGCACAGCCCATGAGGGCTGGAGGAGAGAAGCAGAGTGAACCTTAGAAAGACAGTTCAGCTCTTTGGAGCACTGGATATTTTACTGAAGTATATTTACTGAGGCACCATCACTGTTATGACTGTATAGTATAGTTTTTCAAAAATTTCATCACATTTACTTTGTTCAGAATCTGGGCTTGAATCTTTGAGTTCAACAAAAGCCTGTGGCTTCTTTTAAAAAGTTTCATCTTGAGCTAATGCTACAGTTTAAATAAAATATATGAAAGGTAGTTATCAAAAACAATTTGTATATTTAAAATTCTATTTTGACATCCATTTTTTACAGCCAATTATAGCAGGTTATGTGAAATTTAAAAATAAATTTTAGGACTTTTTTTATCTTGTAAATAAGAATTATAAATCTATCTCAGTTAAAAGTAGGATCTTTGTTTTTATTCAGATATTTTGAAAATTTAGAAGCATTTTGTATGCTACTTTTGGTATTTCTTAAGTATAGTCAGCAGGAAAGGGTAACCTGTTTTATGCAAAATTTTTTTAATTTGTCAAATGTTTTTAGTGTGTCTACTTTCTGAAATAGGCTCAATATCCTGTCTGTATCCTAGGCAGATAACTACACAAGAGCAAAATGCTATATAGAAAAGAAAATACTTGAGGAAATCTTAAATTCTATAAGAAAGTAATTCCTGCAAGAATGTTAGCTACATATTTTTTTTTTTTCCTGTCCTGAATAAATTACATCATTAGGTCTGTTGAAGCTTTTGAAGCTACCACTATTCTTTGTGGGAAAAAGGCTAATTACTGATTTATCTGCCCTCAAAATCCCAGAGTTAATTCTAATTGAGTACTAAATTAACAGTAAGTAGTTAACACAGAGAACTAAAATTTAACCACATTATGTCACTATATATATTTCTCATGATTTTTGCTAATTAGAGCATTTACTTAACCAGTAATAAACTACAGACACACACACACATACATATACATATACGTGTGTGTTTATATACTTGGCTCTGACACAACTCTGGTGCTTAATTAGGATATGTTCTATTATGTATTTTGAATGTTTATCCTGCTAGTGTGATGAACTTTTGTTGGAAAAGCAGAATTAGAAGGAACAAGTTTTTCAATCAGTTTCATTTGATAATTACAGGAAAACCTTGAGTTGTCTAATTTAATTTTTCCAATTAATATATTTAGACTTTAAATTGCATCCATAATTCTCTTGGCTGAAAAACAGTGATATTTTAAGACAGTTTTGTTATACATGTGACTTACTTCTGACTCAGCCTGAGAGGAGGAAATGTAAAGAGATAAAAGATTTGGCCTAAAGCAGCAAGTGACTAGTAACCTTGAGCCAGGATGAAGCCAAGGCAACGTGACTCCCAAGTAGCAGGAGCAGAGGTCGGTCACCCATGGCATTCTGTTTCATTCCCTTTTAAAATTATGAGGCTTTATAGGCAGTGTAAAACATCAGCAGGCAGCAATGTGATAGGATGTGCAAAAAAGCTGGTCTGATACCGTGGCTATAATTACAGAGCTTTAGTTCAATTAGGATTTTGTAAATGAGCAAATGACGTTTTCTTCCAGTGCTCCTTGTAATAGTTAATATAAGTCTATGCAATCTTGTGATGCCATTCTCCTGAAGGTGTTGATTTCTGGTACCCAGCCAGCTTAGCTTTGGCTGCTGGAAGCACAGTAGGTACTGATGGTTACTTCCTGGAAATCTTGACAGGCTTATTGTACTGTGTAATGGGGAAAAGTTGAAGTATAATGTTTGGTGTTAATAAGTGACTGATGTGAAAATAGAAACATGTGTCTATAATATCAAATATGGCTTTATTTGCAGTAAAATCTAAATTCTTTATTCTATAGTAGTATTTTCTTGCCCTGTGTTGTATCTTTTCTTAAATACATTTTTCCTGACAGTGGCTTTAGGCAAGTTGAACACACTTAGACTGAAACTGTTTAACTTAAAGAGATCAGTCCAGAAACCATGATAAATAAGAATCTTGATCTGGAATTACCAAATTAAAATTTAAAATCATGGTCCAGAAGAGAACAAACATTCATGGCTTTTTTATACTACTGCTCATTTTTAGGTCTGTGTTTACATCCAGTCTCTTCTATTTGTGAAGTATGTCATTACTTTTTTCAAGTTCTTCTTTGACTTCACTGAAAAATAATATTCCAAATTCCTAATGTAACATGAAAAGTGAAATAGAATTTTTGTTTAAAAGACATTTTTTAAAAAGCATTCAATTCAGTAATCATTTCTCTTAATACAGGAAGTTTTTTCGGCTTGCCAGTGAGATACTGTGGGTATTTTTTAAAATGTGCTGTCCTTGGGTTGCCTCATATCACCTTGCATAATCTTGTATTACAAAGGTTGATAATTGTCATTTCTCAGATGTCTGTATGTTACACTGGCAGCAGTAAAATGTTTTAATGTTGTTCCCTTTTAAATAATTGTGTTATATTAACATGCCTCATATTTTCTGGGGAAACTTGAAATATATCTAAACAAAAAAGATCTGTCATAAATAGGAATTGGCATTTCATTGTTAATATGTTTTTTCCTCATAAAAGTAGTTACACCAAAAGTGACATATTGTCTATCACATGGGCCCAATCAGTATTAAAGTACTCCCATTACTCAAAAAATATGGAAAGATAATTCATGACACTTAGTAGCATTTTCATTCATTGTTTCAAAAGGTCTTTGTAATGGTCAAATTGTCCACTTCACAAAAGAGTGAGAAAGTTGTTTTCAGTACTGGGAATTGTTAAACTTTAGTTTTAAGTCCAAAAGTATCTCTTATTAGCTTGAACATTTTGTGATGACTTTTCCCTCCCCGGATCTAGTCCTTTTAAGGAGTAAGTCTAAAGAATGAGGCCATGAAGTCACTATTTCCTCCCCCCTCAGTTTGTCTCCTGGTACTTAGCTGGCCTACCGCTTTGCGTAGCAATATCCCTGGGTCTCCTCCCCACTCAGCCTTCAGTGTCTACTGTTGACAGGACGTGCCATTATGTCTTTCTGGTACCGATCACAGTGCTGCCGTATCACAGACCCTGCCAGCCAGCATGGAACCGTGCCTCATCACAGCTCTGCCCAACTCACAGGCTGCCAAGGTGAGGCCACAGGTCCACCTAGGGCGGCAGATGCTGGTGCTATTTGTCATGACTTTTGCCAAAACATGTACACTGTTGCTCACTTCTTTCAGAAGAATGGTTGACACTAAGGGGCCATGGAAAAGAACTTTTAAAAAATTATGTGGTGGAATCAAAGTCACAGAGGCAGAAATGTTAGCATCATGCTCTAACCAAGGAAGCTTAGTGTTCCCCGCAGTGCTCTGTATCTGGCCTGGGTCTCCTCAAGCGGCAGCCCCCACTGTCCAGCATGTGGAAGGTAGATTCTTATGACAACACCAGACCCATAGTTACCAGGAAACGAAAAGGAAGCTGAGTGTTGTGAAGGGGAAGAAATCCTTTTTATAAGAAGGAATCATTTTTAGGCCGGGTGCAGTGACTCATGCCTGCAATCCCAGCACTTTGGGAGGCTGAGACAGGCAGATCACTTGAGGTCAGGAGTTTGAGACCTGCCTGGCCAACATGATGAAACCCTGTCTCTACTAAAAATGCAAAAAAATTAGCCAGGCATGGTGGCATGTGCCTGTAGTCCCAGCTACTGGGGAGGCTGAGGCAGGAGAATCACTTGAATCTGGGAGGCGGAGGTTGCAGTGAGCTGAGATCACAACACTGCACTCCAGCCTGGGTGACAGAGCGAGACTCCATCTCAAAAAAAAAAAAAGAAAGAAAGAAAGAAAGAAAACATTTTTAAAGTAAATTGAGTGTAAAATGTTTTCGCCATGAGGCCATTGCCCCCTCTCCCCCAGGAAACAGTGCCTAAGGATGATGTCAAGTTACAGCCAGTTTGCGCTGATCCCCCAGGTCCTAAGAAAACTGTGAGTGCTTCACAAGCAAAGGTAGAGCTACCAGATATGGAGAATAACTTGGCCATTTATAGCAAACTACCTGACTTTGGGGTGAGAAACCAAGCACCTTCTAGGTCCTAGGACAGGTGAATTGGAGGTGCAGCTGCTAAAGTTCTCATTTTCTACACACTTCAGGAGCCAGCGTGTTTCATCTTGGTTTTGTAAAACTTTGCTGTAAGTCATCACAGTTAACTCTTTGAATGGATATTCTAGAGTGTATCTTTTTTTTCAAAATTAGCAGAACAGTTATCTCTGCTCATTCTCTTTATACATTTAGTTTTTTTAAAGTTCCCCTACTATACCTGTTAGGCACTCTAAATAGGACACAGTTAAGGCTAAAAGAAGGACCAGTCGCTCTCTAGAGCCCACAGTTCAGAACTTCTTATTGTCATGTCCTGGTTTGGTTTGGTTTGGTTTGGTTTGGTTTGCTGTTTAACTCAACAAGTTGCAAACCATGAGTTTAAAGCAAATGGTTTCCTTTTCCTTTCTTAAGCTTAAAGAGAATTTTTTTTTTAATCTTCAGCTCCTCATTTAGGTAGTGAAGGCTTCCCTGAGAGACAGCAGTGCCCTTCTCTAGGAGAAGAGGCTGGGACTAAAAGCCTGAGTCTGTGGGTTGAGGATTTTCAGCATTCCTTTCACAAGCCTCTATGTATTTTTAATGGAAGACTCATAAGTGAACCTGATAAGGTGTTCATGACCCATCCCTTAAGCATGCTTGCTTTTTTTAACTTTACTTTTTGAATATAGGACTTGTCTTGTTTTTCCTGGAGCCATGCTAGGATTTAATTCCTATGTGCTGCCCCACCACTGCCCCGCCCACGTCCTGGAAGATGGCCGTGCCTGCAGCAATGCTCCCGTCTTGAGGACAAGCAATGTGGAAAGCGTCAGGAAAGCTGAACTTTACGTTCAAGTCAGCAAACATTTGTAAGCATTCTAGTAAGCTTGCGACCTTGATACTTTTTAAACATGATCTTTTTATTTGCTTCGAGTATCAACCATATAGCTGACTCTAGAGCAGTGAAGGGAGTAGGGATTAGAGCAAAATTCGGACTTCCTGCCCCTATGGGTCTGAGTTCTCATGTCTCTCTGGGAAATGTGTTGGCCCAATTCCCTATCTGCCACTCTGAGTCTCTTGAGTAAATGTGTATAAATGAGAAGAATTATCTCAAAGATTTAACTTATAATTTAGATATTTTCTTCTTTTTAAACTCAGGAATAAACCTGGTTTATAGATAACATAATATGGCTACTAGAGCTATAATTGGGTAGGTGACTAGAAGCATTCTTTCAAATATATTTCTTGTAAAGACATCTACTTTGTTTTAACTAGGAAAAGAAACTCCTCATTAAAATAAGATAAACATTTCCATAAGCACTTTCTAGAAGAGTGTAGCATCTGTCTACCATGCATCCCAGAGTGTTTGTATCTTGCTCACAGTATTTCAAAAATTTTTATGGGTGGAAAAAAATGCACATTTTTTAATTTATTGGAAAAGTATATTGAGTTGTTGAATTAAATTCTCAAATGGGACAATTTAGTGTAAACAGAAGCATTGGTTTTGGAGACAAGAGCACAGGGCTGTGGTCCCTGTTCCAGCATTGACTTTACTGTGTGACCTCGAGCAAATGATTTAACTTCTCTGTGCCTCAGTTTCTCCATATACAAAATGGGGATAATGATACCAACCATTGCCTACCTCATAGAGATGTTATGGGGACAAACGAAATAATAGAGATAAGCACGAATGCTTTCAGCTCTTCAGAAGGTGCTATATAAATTGAAGTTGTGTTTTTTATGATCCAATTATTAATTATGTTTAGGGTTTAAATAACAATACTGTTAGTCATGTTAAGAATAAGTTTTGTTTTGATGCATATTTCCAATTCTCTTCTGTGACCAGATCTTGATCATTCAACCAGTAATGGTACCTGAGGAACTGAAATGGGTATTTGTTTTCTGTGTGTTTCTGCCGGTAGTATTTCAATTCTGAATATCCAGAAAAGACTGGAGTTTAACTTGTAATATCTTATAGTTTACATGTAATAAAACTTATTCAAGCTGTATATAAAAGTATGATTACATGTAAATAGCAGGTATGTTGTAATTAAAGGCACTTATCAAATTGTCTTTGCTCTTTTTTCAATTGTAATAAAAGTCAGTTTTATATAAAGGTTTGTTAAAATTTATTTGGTATTTGAAAAGGTCAAGAATGGCTAATTTATTTATCTTTCATGCATTACCTGGGTTTTGGGATTCCAGCAGTCAACCCACCACCATAACAGGAAAGATAATATAATGTTCCTGGTAATCAGACCAAAGTGTGTAAAGGTTAGCATCAAAAACTTTGCAGAAAAGGACCCAAGTTTGAATCCCAGCTCCATCATGACTTTGAGGAAGCTGCTGGACTTCTTTGTGCCCTCCTTTCCACATTTGGAAATGGGGGATTATAGTATAGAACCTGCTAATGGGGTTGTCTTGGGGATTAAATGAGATACTAAGCATGGTACCTGGCAAGGTGCTAAGTGCTCTGTCAATGGTAAGAGACCATCTTCACAACAAGGCTGGGAGATTTTTGATGGCATTTGCCCACACTTCCCAAGCACTCCTATGAAGATATGCCACCTGAGAGCAAACAATTCCCCAGGCCAAGAGGAAAACCCATCTGCTTGTGTGTGAGGGGGATGCAGCCCCAGCAGGATGTCTCACAGCAAATGACTTTAATCACCATCTGACCTGGCTGCCCCCTTCCTAGTCACTTAAGACTGGCCTTGGGGCCAAAAGGCGAAGCAGTGAGAGTTCTCTTTGGCATGCTTCTATCTTCTTTTTGTCTGTGCCCTGTAACTACAGGACACCCCAAACCCCCCAGATTGCCTCTTTAAGACCCATCACAACCCAGGCTCCCTTTCTGAGATTTTTCTGTGCTTTCTCCTTCTGTTCCACCCCATCTGCACCATTATAAATACTCACCCTGTTCCATATTTCTCCAGGGACTGGCCTGCTTATTTCTACCCAACTAACTGTTCCTGTACAGTGAGTGAATATCCCTCCTACTCCTAAGACTGTTTACAGTTTAAGGAGCTTGCTGCCTATCACAGGCTTGAGCAAAACCACCCTTCACTCTCATGGGCATGGCAAACTCCTGAGAGGCTGTATTTGGGCATAGAGGAGAGGGCAGAGACTCCCGCAGATCACATGCCACATCAGCAAATGGCTGCTGAGCTCTCACAGAGGCCGTGCCTGCCACTGCCTATGTCAAAGGGTCTCATCTTGCCTAGTTGCTTCCTTGCACGTGATGTAATGATAGCAACCTACGGCAGATGTGGGGAAGGGCCTGGCCATCTTGGTTTCAAACCCTGGCTTCCTTTCTCACCACATGGGCAGAACTTTCTTTCCTTTCCCAGAGGATTAATCACAACTCCATTCTGCGTGTGGAGACTCAGCACTAAGAAATGTTTATTCTTGGTTGGGCGTGGTGGCTCACGCCTGTAATCCCAGCACTTTGGGAGGCCGAGGCGGGCAGATCACAAGGTCAGGACATCGAGACCATCCTGGCTAACACGGTGAAACCCCGTCTCTACCAAAAATACAAAAAAATTAGCCGGGCGCGATGGCGGGCGCCTGTAGTCCCAGCTACTCCGGAGGCTGAGGCCGGAGAATGGCGTGAACCCGGGAGGCGGAGCTTGCAGTGAGCCGATATCGCGCCACTGCACTCCAGCCTGGGCGACAGAGCGAGACTCCGTCTCAGAAAAAAAAAAAAAAAAAAAGAAAGAAATGTTTATTCTGAGTCTTTGGATCACAGATCCTGGTTTCCCACATGGTCTACCTGGGGAAATGGAAGCTCCAGAGCTCAGCAGTTTGGAAAGTTCTCTGTCACCTGTAGAATGGAGCACTCTCCACTTCTGTCAGAAGTGAGCGTACTGCTGATTCCAGGACGTAGACGTTTACCAAGTGCTCATTAAGAGGAGTGGAGAATTCTGATACCCTAGTTAAGGTAAGCCAAACAGTCCAGCCTTTATCATTACTGTTTTTTTTTTTTAAATGTGCTCCTTGAGTCCATCTTTCTGCCTCTGTGAATGCCATCTGCACTATGATGCTTTTCACTTTTGAAGAATTATTCAGGACCTTTCTGTACTTTTGAGGTCGCCATTTTGAATGTTTGCTCTCATCCTAGATGATTCTTAAAAATCTCAAGGCTAGACCTTGGCACTCCAAAGCCAACTGTCTCCCAGGCATCACATCTGTTTCCAAAATGTCTCCCTCGGTATGTCCCAATGTAAATGTGGCTGTTCTGGAGTGGAATCATCTGCCTTGTTTGCTCTTCAGGGCACATTTAACTTTGAAATATTCCCCGTAGCATATACTACAGTTTCCTGCACACAGCAAGCACTAAATAAATGTTTGATTTGATGTGAATTCTCCTACCTTTCTATCATCCATAGTTCTACAAGCCTGTCTTGAACTAGTGCCCATCAAATCTTAGTATTTCATACTTGAACTCTTCCCCCACCAAAAGCTTCTCTGTGACTGTGAACTTCTGAAGAGATGCCAGGGTAACAAGATAGGGATGTCCTCCAAGTCAAACCAGCCCAAAAAGTGGTGGCACGGGGAAGAAGGCAGACATCTGACATGCAGATAAACAGCACCACAATCTGGCAGAGTGTTTTCTAAAACAGACACGTCATTCAAAGCAACAGCTTTAAATGTTTAGGCCCAGAGGAAAAAAAATTAATCATCGCAACATCAAAGGAGAAAAGCAAAGTTAACAGGAAAACAAAACAAGCCACAGAAAAACCAAATATTGATTCATTCCATAAATATTTGCTGAGTATTTACTATGTGCCAGGAGCTGAAACATGGTGAGAGAGAAGAGACAGAACTCCTGCCTCACTGGAGCTCACATTCTAATGGCTTTAGTGCCTATGCCTACCTTTAAACATTTGGCATGCACGTTTAAATTCTTGGGGTATTCAGTATCTTGATGTCTCCACTGATTGTACCAAGTCTCTGGAGATCCACTTTACAGAAACGGCTCCAGAAAGGCCTCTATGAGCGGGTTACACTTAATGTGAGACTGAAATAATAAGCCAGTGAAAGAAATTCCAGGCATGGTGCACAGCCAACGCCAGGGCTCCAAGTCAGGAAAACCTGGATCTTCCTACACAAGCACACATAAATCAATACCAGGCCAGCCTGCCAGGCCTCCGGCATATCTCCTTCTCCACCATCCCTGCCCTTGTCTGGCCAGTCCCCATCCTAAGTCACTCTGTAGTACCTCAAATCAACCTTCCGTACTGTCACCAGTATTAGCCATCCAGAAAGCAAGCCTGTTTGGATCAGGAGAAAAGTACAAACTGCTCACTAAAGTAATTATTATCTATTTCCCAGTCACTATTCTAGATTTTGAGGATACAGCAATAAATAAAACAGCTAACGGTTTCTGTTCCAGTGAAGCTTACATTCTAGCAGGGGAAGAAAAATGATTAACCAAAACAAATTTCAGATCCTAAATGGGATGAGTAAAACAAGATGGAATAAAGTAAATGATGATAAAATAGAGAGTGCCCAGGTTTGTTAGTGCAGGAAGAATGATACCTTTTCTACTGGGTGGTCAGGGAAGGCCTGAATGACTTGGGGCATCAGTATAAAACTTGGGGAGAAAAACTTCCAAGAAGAGAAAATAGCAAGTGCAGAGGCCCCAGGGAGGAAAAGACACTGGTATATTCCTGAACCACAAAAGAAGGCAGGGTGTCTGAACCACAGAAACAGAGTCACAAAAAAGGGAAATACGAGAGACAGGCAGGGTCCAGATTCCACAGAGCAGAGTAGATCAAATCAAGAATTATACTGTGATAGCCCAGGCATAGTGGCTCACATCTGTAATCCCAGCATTTTGGGAGGCTGAGACAGCTGAATCATTTGATGTCAGGAGTTCGAGACCAGCCTGGCCAACATGGCAAAACCCCATCTCTACCAAAAATACAAAAATTAGCCGGCGTGGTGGTGCACGCCTGTAGTTCTAGCTACTGTGGAGTAGAGACTGAGACCGGAGAATGGCTTGAACCCAGGAGGCACAGGTTGCAGCGAGCCAAGATCACGCCACTGTACTCCAGTCTAGATGACACAGCAAGACTCCATCTCAAAAAAAAAGAGAAAATAATAATTTTATTGTGATATTAGGAGCACATTGAAGCCACTGAAAGATTTTAAAAAGAAGTTTGGCAAAAACTGGTTTTCCATATGAAACATAACGTAATACTTGAGGCCAGGAGTTTCAGACCAGCCTGGGCAACACAGTAAGACACTGTCTGTATAAAAATAATTTTTAAAAAGTTAGATGGACATGATGGCACACACCTGTAATCCCAGCTACTCGGGAGGCTGAGGTGGAAGAATCACTTGAGCCCAGGAAGTTGAGGCTGCAGTGAGCCATGATTGTGTCACTGCACTCCAGCCTGGAGGACACAGCAAGACCCTGTCTCAAAACAAAACACACACACACACAAAAATAATAATAAAGAACATAAAATTCAATTCCCAACTTATGCCATAAATGAAAATACACTTCAGATGGATTAAAGAGAGAATAATAAGAAACAAACATAATAGCTACAATAATATAACCTTACTATTTATGAGTTACCATTCTACAGGCATCTCATTGTATTAGCTCATTTAATCTTCAAAACAACCTTAATGAGTTAAATAATTATTCTCATGGTAATCAATGATATCACACTGAAGCATAGAATAGTTAACAAATTTGTCCAGCTTTTAGTAGCAAAGATGAGATTTGAACTCAGATAATTGTATTTCCAAACCTGAGTTCTTAATCAAAATTATGCTATGGGAGATATTTATTATGGCTTTATTATGGTTTAAAACTGAAATATTTCTTAAGCAATGCACAAAAGCACAAATCATAGAGGAAAACACTGATCTGTTTGACTCCATAAATTTATAAAATGTCTTTATAAAGGTTTAAGTGTATGTATCAGTGTAAGAAGCAACGTATCTAAAGACAGCGATATCTATTTTGTTTACTTCCGTATTCTCATTCGCCTACAAGTGTGCCTGCCCATAAGAAGACATCACTAAATATATGTTGAAGGGATGGATGGTGGATAAACAGATAAATGAATAGCATGTAGGTTTACTCACAGCCAACCTACC